CCCCCGCAGCAGGTCGGTGCTCCGGGACCGGCCCGGGGTGAGAAAAGCGGCGGGCAGCGACGGGGCTCATCGCCCCGCCCCTATCGGAGGGGGGCGGAGCCACTGTCTGGGGGTGGGCGGGGGCTATACGAACCCCGCCCACTCCCCCCGCGGGCAGGGTTTCCAGTCGGAGCGTTTATGCGGCGCGCGGGGAAGGGGCGCGGGGGCCGCCATGTCGCGGTTGCACCAGAGCAGGTCGGTGTTGGGGCCCTTTCCCCTGCGGGGGCGAGGAGGGGGAGTGGGTGTAGGGCTTTCTGGGGTCGGGGGGTGCCGGTAACCAATGTTGTGACGGTCGCGGCTCCGTTCCCCTCAGGATCGCGGATTTCCAGGAGGTGCTCGGCGAACCCACGGTGGCTCTGACCAAGCTCCGCGACCTCTGCTTCAGCGGTGAGCCGCCCCGGGGAGGTGTGGGGACCGGACCCGGCCTGGGCGAGGAGGGCGCAGGGCACGGCCCTCGGCCCCTGGCGCTGCCCCCCGCGGGGCTCGGGGCGCCTGAAGGCGCAGAGGCGGGCTGTCAGGCCCCAGGGCGTCCGAGGGCTGAAGGCCGCCTCAGCTCCCGCAAGTGCTCCCCGCCTAGAGCTGTTGTGGGGCGGCGGGTGTTGGAAACCCGAGGCCGGCGGGTGCGTTTTCAAGCCCAAGCTCCATCAGGCCGCAGCGGTCCCCACCCGGCCTTTGAGCACAGCCGCAAACTTACAGGCAAACCTTTCTTCCCCCCCCGCCGCCGCTCTCCGAGATGGTTGTGGGTTTCGTTGCTTCAGCTGTGCCCTGTCCATCGCCTGCACGGTCCCCAGCTTTCTGCTTCCAAGGCCTGCCGCAGGTACCTTCCCCCCGTGGGAGGCACCGGCAAGTTTGGCACCGGGTGTAACCCCTATAGCGTTCCTGTGAAAACTTCTTGCCCCCTGGGGAGGAAAAGTGCTGCCTTGCCTGTTTGTGTGGTGACGTTAGCAAACCGCGGTGAGGAGACTGGGGCTA